ATACAAATGAACTTTTTGACTTTTAAAAACTCTCACCAACTGAGCTACACCGTTTTGTAATTCTTAAAATAAAACTACAAACCCTACAAACTTGTGTTATGGATTTTCATTATGGATGAACTGGGATATTGTATGTGTCTTTATAATTTTGTAAGTCATTAATAAACTATTTTGATTTGTTTCTTCTCCTTGTCCATCATGTAAGCAGCACTCATTCCATGTTCTCAAACTTGCTCAAAAGGATTTCCTCTATGAATTTCCTTTTCTCACATCTCTAACCTAGTGGTAACTCCTTTACCCTCCCATATCTAGTTTATGTTCTTGAGTAAAGATGACCTAAGATGTATGGTGTCAGGGAGGGGATGAAACCCACTTCCAGTTGGGATGTGAAAGCTGGATAAGCACAGAGATTCCAATAACAGTGGTAGATCCATGATGCACAAAGGAGGGCATAGTGGAGTGAAGGAGGGGCTGAGAAGCAAATACAATAGAAAAGTGGATCTCTAAGGATTGAAAACCAAGCAATTCTTCCATTTCCTCCCGGGCACAGGGATGGAGATGATCAGTTAGCTAGTGTTATATGACTAAAGATTCCCTAGTGCCATTGTTATTGAGAATTTGAACGTAGCAAGTAAATATAAAATGAGGAGAGTGAAGAGCCTCAATATGTTTGGATTGAGGGTGGAATTATTTCCAAGGGAGCATTGTTAACAAAAACATGGAGATGCAAATGCATGATGCATGACTTGGGACCTGAAATGATTACAATATCCCTTATCCGCTCTGATGGGAGGGATAGTAGGGAAATAAGTGAGGATGACAGGGACTGACAGAAGTGTTTGATGGTTTTGGGGGATGCATTTTGTTTTATGAATCCAATATCAAGTCACTCTTTTGCAATGAATCTTTCTTTTCTGTGAGAAATCCATTTCTATTTTGAGAAGGGTTTAGACCGTCTAACAAAAGAATAAAAATGTGACTCATTCTGGGCAAAAGAAAGTGTCCCATTCCCCTGGCCATGCAGATTGGCTCCAGGATGCGAACAATTCAGGATCTTCCCCGGGATTTTTCTGCTGAGCAATCTGAAAAGATTGTCTCATTTGGCTATTGTTTCTAAGCTTGTAGGAGCTTAACCACATGGTTCTTAGTCTTCTCTGCCACGTGGAGAGAGACTTTAAGAGATGGAATGTGCCCATCTAGAAGTAAGTGAGAAACAGTGCTGTCTTACTTTGGTATTTTTATTTAAGTGAAATATGGGGTTTTTATTTGTTTGTTTGTTTAAAACCATTTCCTAAGCAAAGATCTATTTGTACATAGCATTGCTTATTGAACTAATTTTATCTTAGAATCCAATGACAATAATAATTATGATGATAGTTTCTATTTGTTAAGTGATAAATATGTGCTAAATGGCTTACATACATTGTTTCCTCATTTACTAAATTAATAATACTCTATAAACGTATAAAACAATGTTTACAAAAGACATGAAATTAAGAAATCAAAGTTTCCCCTTTACTTGAAAGCAGAGAACACTGGATATTCCTCTATCAGAGAACAGAAACAGCGACCCAGTTGCAGCCGGGAGCATACAAGTCACACAATTTCACCTGAGAATCATTCTTAAAACTTCACACAGTGTAGCCATCTAGCCAACATTCTGAAGCAGGAAATTAGAATTTGGGGGAATTAATTGATTGCAACAGCAAATAAAATGAAATGTAAGGTAGATCGTAATCTCCAGTAAAACAGCAGTTCTGGCTTCTGAAGTGCTGAGTAAAAATTCTGTGTCCTTGCAAAGCAGAGAGTTCACTGATGTAGTTATAGCTGAGGGTGGAACTTTTCAGATCTATTTTTCTGGGTATTAAGCTTTGGCTCTATCAATCAGATTGGCCGCCCCAAAGCCTCCTGATAACACATACCTACAGCACTGATTTGGGGACTAAAACCACATGCTTTGCAAGTAAGCTGGCCTGAAATTGGATTCAGTACAATCACCAAAATTAACTGCTTTCTTCTTACCAATAAATAACTAACAATCTTTCCACCTTCAAGGGAACTTTTGAGAATCAACCTCTTTTTGTCTGCTTTCTTGGTTGAGAAAGAACAGCCATAAATTCTAATCCTTTCATTCCTTCCAAAAGCCACCCCTTCAATAAAGCACTCAGGGCTCACCACACCTGGGTGGACGATTGCCCTCATCTGCCACCCTATAAGATTTTATTGTAAAAGGCTTATTTCAATCTGTTTTTTATTGCAGTTATTTTGTGCAACTTTTTTAATTATTATGTATCATTATATATCATATAGCAAAATATGTTACCTGCTGTACAACATTATATTCTTTTCTTTACATTCCTCATGATAAGAGATTGTTTTTCACAACTGAAATTTAATAATATTTATATCCCTCAGGACTCTAGCACAACGTTGGGACCATATTGGTAACTGAGTAACATGTTTATTCTCGAAATGAATATGTAGATAAATAAATTTTATATATCCGTCCAAATAAGCAATATTAGAGTACTTCCATAGACAGACTTATATCTAATAAAATGTTCCCTCCTTGCCTGTTTAAAAAAAAAAGTCTATGTTGTTTACCTGGAAAATACGCAATGACACAGGTGGTGGAGTGGTTTGAATAGTAGCACCCCAAAATTCTTGTCTGCCTAGAGCCTCTGAATGTGACCTTATGTGGAAATAGGGTCTTTGAACAAGTAAGTAAGTTAAAACCAGGTTACAATGGCTAGAGTGGGCCCTAAATTCATGAACTGGTGTCTGTATAAGAGGAGGAGAAAACACAGAGAGAGAAAGACACATAGAGAAGGCCATGTGAAGACAGAAGCAGGGATTCTTGACAAGCCTAAGAATGTCAAGGATTGCCAGGAGGCACCAGAAACCTGGAAGAGGCAAGGAAGGATTATTCCCAGAACCTGTAGAGGGAGCATGTTTGCCTTCATATATGAAAAAAGCGCTGATCATTCTTCAATAACGTTTCAAAGATCCCTTCTTCTACTGGGACTTCTCCAATAGCCTCACTCACAAGGACTCAGGGGACTTCAAGCTTCTCCCAGAAACCTGTTAATAACTATATTGTCTCCCTCATCTCTTCGTACTTTGTTCAATCATTTTACCTGCTTTGTTCCTACTCCTGAACAAAAATCTTCCAGGCAGTGCCATATAGTTGCACTGTACAGAGTATGGGTCAATTATCCTGTTCAACCTCTACATACCGGTCACTTGTCAAAATGACAAGCCTAAAAATTCGAGGAATTAATACAAAGGAGTCAAATTAAAAAACACTCAGCTGATGATATGCATTCACCATTAGGTTTTGCTAGAGAAGTTGAAAACTTTTCTGGTTATCAATTTTCATCTTGCAGCTTTTCAGTGTCATAAAAGTGGGTAGCAGCAAATTTAATTACAAAACTTACATTTAGCAGACAATATTTCTGTAGAGTTGCATTTCTTTTAGAATTATTCTAGCCTATATACTAAGGAAATTATATTACACTATAAAAGTATCCCCTGGAAATAAATAAAATAATTTGTTAGTCCTCATATGTACTTGTTATGAATAATTTACAGTTTGATTTTGAAAGAGCTTCCTCTTTAGTTGAATTTAAGGTTTTTAAAAATTATCTAAGATTATAAGTTAAGATAACACTTACATAGAGATATAAATTAACCCATAATCCTCTCATTATCACACAACTGGGTTCATGTTGTTGTGTGTGTGTGCTTGCGCCCAAATGTACCTTCTTTCCTATTTTAATATCGACTTTAATCTTGTTTTAAACACTCCCCTTGTCATAAACGGTCCAGGAGAAGTTCTGACTTGAGTGACCTCGCCCTCTCACTGACCCTCACTGAGCCCCAGCCAACAGGAAATTATCCAATACACCCAGCATTCTGGTCTGCTGACATTTTCCACCGTAAACAGGAAATCCAAGAAGATTTAGGTCTCAGGGAAAACATTATCAAGCCCAGCCCATCACACTTTCTTAAGAAGACTCAGAAGAGAAAATCGTTAGAAAGAAATGAAAATAGAATAGAATCATCAGAAAGCCACTTAAAACTTTTCTTGCTGTCCTTTCTCCTATGTGTTCTTCACAAGACTGATAAAACATTCTAACGCCATAATCAGAGTACCGATGCAGAATCTGACACCCGGGCATTTGTAAAGCCTAGTTTTTAACCTTGATATCAAGGTGGAAACCATTTAGGAATAAGGTAGCTCATCTGTTGTTTAAATATTTCAAGAAGTAAAAGGAAGGAAGGAAGGACAGAAAGATAGACTAGTAAAGCTAGAGAGTGATTTGGGATTCAAAATAAGCCATAGTTAGTGGGATTGAGCAAGGAAGGTGTTTCTAATCAGTCATGCTTTAACAGTCCTAATTAACTAATTGTGTTCAAGAAAAAAGTTAATAAAGATGTAGAAATAGAAATGTGATGGCAAAATTTTAGAAAATAAAGTAATTTTATGACAAGATAGACAAAGAATCAAAAGAGAAAAAAAAACATATAGTATTTTGTAGAGCCTTCGCATTTTAAAGGCTATAATGAAAGTGGTTCCAGTTTATTTATGCTCAAATTGTACAGCGTTCTAAGATTCTCCTCAACAAATTTTCACTCTAGATTGGCTCTTCCTGGCATGAAGTCAATTCTGTCTAGCCTTCACCTTTATCACCTGTGCTGTCATTTGGTAGACAGATACATTTATGAAATGAAAATTAATTTTTACTATTAGTCCAAGAAAAGTATAATTAGAAGGGAAAATGAACTGGAAGGTGTAAACTAATGACATTATCAAACATATACAAAAGTAGGGATTATCTACTCTTCGAAATTCTTAACCTTACAGTTCCTCTCCATTAACACATAACTGAGGGCCAAGTTTGCATGTGATCGCTACTCCAAAACTTGTTGCAAATCTGTAGGTGTATTTGTGCATACTCTTTGATTTATATAAAATTTGCCTAAAATATAAGTCTTACCTCATTCTGGAGATCTCGGATCATTTTGCTCTTTCTTTCCATTTCAGTCTTCAAAAAATTTATCTGAAAATGAATAGAACATTATGTAAACATATTTCAAATTTATTTCTATGGCTTTTATAAATTTATTTTTGTGATTTTTGAAGTATAATAAAATGATTCTCTCTTTAAAAATAAATATTGAAAAAGAACGAAGGACTAAAATTTTCGTTAACCAAACCTTCATCGCCCAATTCATACATATATCCACTGATTATTTAAAAATACCCTTTTCTCAAGTAATAAAAGTTTCTTTCTTTATAAATTGAGAGACCATGCACATTATGACTGTGATTCTCTTACCTGTCTAAACCTCAATAAAAAAATATGACTGCAAAAAAATAAAACTAGATTCTCAGATTGGGCCTAGGAATCTCTATTCATAAAACACTCTCCAAGTAATTTTGACCTGTGGCCAGGTTTGAAAGCAAGTACCTAGTGATATTCTTGACTTCAAAAGCATGGAATGTTATCAAAACTGTACCAAAGAAACAACGATGTTTCCTTCTGAGTATGATATTGTTGGGATTTTTAACCCCAGGCCAGTTATTTGAACTGTATTTGCATAAAGGCAGCATCTTTATTTGCCTGAGTACTTCAAAAAAAGTCATTATAGCGCAGTTGTTTAGATTTGAGAATTTATAGTCACTGGGGGTTCACTATGATAAAAGCTAACTGTATCATGGTGGATGAAAAATTTACTTTCTCCAATTTTCAATTTTCTGGTAGTTAAATTTTAAAAAAAAAGTAAAAGGACATGAGTGAAGTTAATTTTACTAATATATTTATTTAATTCAATATATTCACAATATCATTTTGAGGGGCCGGTCCAGGAGCATAGCAGTTAAGTTCACGCACTCCACTTCGGCATCTGGGGGTTTGTAGGTTCAGATCCTGGGCACAGACCTATGCACCCCTTATCAAGCCATGCTGTGGCAGGAGTCCCAGATAAAGCAGAAGAAGATGGGCACAGATGTTAGCTCAGTAATGCATTATTAATAATATAACTGACATTATCTTTTGAAATATATCTTTAAGACCCACTGTGTGTTTTACACTTCTCGCACATCTCAGTTTGGACTAGCCATTTCACAATGCTCAGTAGCCTCAAGTATCTAGTAGTTATATACTGGACAACAAAGTCTTAGAGGATCCCTGGAACGATCCAGAAGAGACCAGTGATGTGGATTATCTTGAGATCGATTGAGTCAACAGAAGTCAAGTTTAGGAGTCAAGTCAATTTTCACCATATATACAGATTAAAAAAAATTAATTCTGAAACATTTCAAACATAAACTAAAGAACAAGAAGTATAACATAAACATATATAAATATTTTGTCCAATTGTCCTCAGACTTTGTAAAGAAAATGTTACATCTAATCTTTCTTCCTTCCCTCTCCCCAGAGGCAACCACTCTCCTGCAGTTGATGTGTGTTAGTCTTGTGCATATTTTTGTACATTTATACTTATTGAGTTTTGCGCAAGGCTTTATAACACATGTTAACTCCTTTTGTTTTCTGGCTGTGTAGGTGTCCCTGTATTTTCATTCTCTCAAAAGGTAGTGGAAACCTAAACCAAACAATTTTTGATGGTCAAACCACATATAAAACAGAAGCAGAAGCCTGAGAACTACCATGTCCATTGTTTTGGCCATAAACACTTTCAAGGTAAGTTTGACCTATGAAGATACTGACAGCAACCCAAAAACATGAGTCACATAACCAATGTTGTGGCTAGACTGGCCTTCTGGTTCTTACTATGGCTGCAAGACATCATCAGCAATGACCATCATGAAACTTTGCAAAAAAAGGTTTATTACTTACAAGTCCTGGAAATTACATGGCACACTTGGGGCCACACCGTGAGGTCACAGAGAGAGAAAGAGTGAGAGAGAGAGAGTGCAGACCTGGGATTCTGCTGTTACTGGGGACAAGGTGTGGGGGGGCTAGAGTTCCTCAGGCTCACTCATTATTGGTAAATTTAAGACATAAGAGCAGGAATTTAAAGTATGAGAAGAGAAAAAACAAGTAGCCAAACAGTCAGTTATGGAAATCAACCAGGATCTCTAAAACAAAGGAGCATGTGGTCGAGGAGAGGCGGGGCCTGGCTCTTTATCTAGTTCTGCGGCTGGTAATGTGTTATTTGAGGTCGCCATCTTTGAAGGGGATGCCTCCCCACACAATCAAAGCTTAAGTCAGGGCCTTGCATTAAAATAAAGAAAAACCAACTGTCGGGGCTTCTACTACCTCTACCCAAGCACTTTATGAGCATAGGAAAATTTTGATATGTTCCAGATTTGTCTTTAAGTCTTGAACTACTTAAAGCCATCTTGCTGATATTAGTAACCTGCTCTTTCACTGATACCATTTGCCCACAAATCCTCACATTTTGATACTATGCAGTATACGTTATCCATAATTAACAACTAACCTTAATTGAGTGAAAGAAAATATATTGCAATGTCAAGAATATACTTATTTAAATTTTAAACAAGGACAGAGAAACTTGAGAATGCAATACTCAAGTATTCAGGACCTAAAATATATCAGAATATTCAAGAAGCATTAGTATTTGAAACCATTGGTCTAAAATCCCAGCAGGTTTTAACATCCCTGGAAAAATAAGCATTTCTAGCAGATAGTTATGAAATAATTCTCAGAGACAGAAAATACCATTTATTTACTTTGAATACAGAATGGAAGAACATAGCAATTCTTTACTTTTAATGAGAGTCAAAGCTTGAAGCTAATTCTCATCTTTAGACTAATTATGTCTCACTTAGGGCAAGTTAAGCCATAAAAACTAACAAGGGTAGTGAAATGCATCCAATGAGCATTAATATCTTTAATTACTCTGGTTGCACCTGAGAGCTCATTCTTCCTTGCTGTCTGTTAGGTTTTTCAAGAGGAACACACAGTTGAAAGATTTGCCAGTCCATTATTTGCTTAGGAATAAAAAATGTTCACATATTCATAAAAAGTTTATTTTCAAACAGAATTCGATCAAGACAGATTTAATGCTTTTTCAATTTAATTTTTCAGAAGTTTATCTTCTTTTATATCTTTGTGATTTAAAAGTAACAGCACTTTTAAGTCTCACAGCGTTTTTCTTTTTTGAGGAAGATTAGCCCTGAGCTAACATCTGCAGCCAATCCTCCTCTTTTTGCTGAGGAAGGCTGGCCCTGAGCTAACATCCGTGTCCATCTTCCTGTACTTTATATGTGGGATGCCTACCACAGCATGCCTTGTCAAGCGGTGCCATGTCTGCACCCGGGATCCGAATGGCGAACCCCAGGCCGCTGAAGCGGAAAGTGGGAATTTAACTCCTGCACCACCAGGCTGGCCCTTCACAGCATTTTAATGGGGACTTAGCAAATGATGTGGGTATTTGCAACATCTTTTGCGTAAAATACACAATCTGTTATTTTTATGGAAAAAGGCATAGTAATTAGATATGTAATCAAGGGCAGCACATAAAATTATCTGCTCTTAAATCTAAAATAGCACAATATTTGCAGAATTAAATCCAATGTTTTCCCTCTATTGAGAGCGAGCAATTACAATTATCTTAGTCTTGCTTTCTCATCCAACCTTCAATTATACCAACTATAGTCTTCCTAGAAGAGAAAATCATTACAGAATTGTTTACAACTACAAAAATTTTTAAAAATATATATTAATGTAATCTTTAGTTAACCTTGAATCTTCTAATAGGGAGAAAAAGCACAAAACATTCTGTTTGAGTCTACCAAAATTTGGAAGAGGTGATTCCCAGTGATATGAAATCTGTTTCTCCTGGATTCCACCAGATGCACATTTAAAAAATAAAATAATCACAGCTTTAATAAATATATGTTCTTCTCATGTTTGTTGAGGTTGCTGTCATCTCTTTCTGGATTCTGAATTAGAACATATCAATCATTCAATTCAAAACCTAGAACACATTTTAATATAATCTTGAATTTATTTATATAGGAATTTTACATCTACATTAATTAGTGAAAATGTCTATTAGTTTATTTATGCATATTGTCATTAATTGACTTTGGAATCATAAATGCACATGCTCATAAAATAAGATGAGAGTATTTGCTCTTTTTCTATTTTACAGAAAATATTTGCCTATGTTAAGAATTAACTGATCTTTGAAAAATAGGTGGAAGTCACCATTAAAAGCTTCTGGCTCTGTAATTTTTGGGAAAGAGGGTCTTTTAGCACAATAAGATTCCAGCTGTTTTAGTTTATTCAAGTAGTAAATGTCTTCTTACAGAAATTTTGGCATTTTTTATTTATTCATCTAAGAATTTACACATATACTTTCAAGTTTATCAATGAACAGTTGCTTATAACACTTTTGTTTCTTTCAATGTCTATTTTGAATATGGCTAGTTGCCCTTTCTCATTCAATATTTTAAAATTTAGAGCTTTTCTTTTATTCTTATTCAATCTTTCCAAAGTCTATCATAATCTTTTCAAAGGACTTAAATATATCTTTTTTCATTTTCCTCACCAGTCTTTATAATTCTCTCTTTCCTTATTACATTGGCCTTGATGTTTTACTTTTCAACTAACTTCTTGAATTTATGTTGCTAATCTTTCATCTTTCCTGAAAAATGAGTTTAAAGCTATAAATTTCCCTCTATTATATTGGCGTGCAGTGTTTTCTTTATTGTTAAGTACCAAGTATTTCTTAATTTATTTTATTGTTTCTTATTAACCAAAGGGTTATTAGAAAATGTTATGTATATTTTTCAAATATAAGGAATTGTTTAGCTATTTATAAGAATTTATTTTTAATTTTATTACAATAGGACTGAATAGTATACTATATATGTTATTAATATTTTCGAACTTATAGAACTTCATTTATGTATTATACATATTTTATTTCTATAAAATTTCTATAAATTTTATATGTATGCTCAAAAAGAATATAGACACTTTGTTGGAGACTTTTCTATATATCTAATAGTTTATAACTATTAATTGTATTTTTACCATCTTCAATGCACTTGCCTATCTAT